GCCAGCAGTAAACTCAACACAACGTTCCTGTGCTGCAGTCCACCTGTGCTCTGAACAACCAAAGTTAATGAATTCATCACGCATATGGAATTTATGCACAGAACGTTACAAATAGGGCGATTAAATAAAGGCTTTGGTCAAACCTTGTAAATGACAGGTGCTACCTCGTGTGATATCGTGAGATTTCACACAATGCGTTAGTGATCACAGAGCGTTGTCTCGGCAACTACCGCACCGAATTTGAGCTCAAAATCTAGATAAATGACTGACTTACAGACATTTTTGTTTTGGCTAAGGTCAATTAGCTGTGCCAGCGATGTTGAACTGGGTCGACTCCATCAGCCTAAATTAGCTTTGGAGAATTTCAATAATACTGGTTCCATGAGATGTTTTGCTAACAGACAGGCACAGCTGACACCAGATCTCAGCTACTAGCACACTTAATTTTAGCTTATAATCAGTAAAACTGGTTGAATTATAGTCATGCTTGTTTTTGATAATGTCAACCAGCTGTGATATTTTGCTAACAGTACAAACGAACACACGAGGAAAAAAAAAAAACATTTGGCAATAAAGATCTTACTTTGACCCCTGACTGTCCAACTCATCCATGGATCTAAAAACAGCAAAAAAAACAAGATGGTTGTATAAATTACTGACTCAAAGATAAATATGATCCATAAAAACATCATACAGTATTCAACACTATTCTCTACAAAACAAATCACCAGAACACAGTTTTCAACATACAACAGTTGTGTGAAGAGCTGCAGCAGCTCCTGACTCGTGAGAAATGTTTCTGGGTTTTGTTGTGGGAAAAAAGGGATTCCCAAAACAACCAGGTGTAAACTTCATCACATTTCTTACAAAGCTTTGGAGAACAGTCAGCAACCACAGAAGATCAATGCTTTTACAAGGTCACTCTTATCATACTGGGCAGCTGTGGCTGAGTGGTTAGAGCGGTCGTCCTCCAGTGGGAGAGTTGGGGGTACGATCCCACCGGCAGCCACATTCTGACGTGTCCCTGGGCAAAACACTGAACTCCTCATTGCCTCCGATGTGTGTCCCATCGGTGTAGGAATGTGATCTCAAGCACTGATCTACAGATTCAGATGATCTTTGTAGAGATCTAGTAGAGCGCTGTATGAATGAGGGCACAGATTGTTCTGTAGTATCTTGATTAGATAGACGTTATATAAGTACAGCCCATTTGCTCATCAACGCTTTCACCTGTCTGAGGCTCTGACCCGTTCTCACTTCCTGAACAGAAAAAAAATCAGTTTTGTAGAAACTTCCAGCTGCCAGGCCCCCGAGCCCCTCCCCGCCCAGTCCAGTTGTTGTCAGGAGCAGGAGGAGCCAGCAGCTCTCATGGACTCTCCGAAGTTACGTCACTGTATCATATCGATCAGTTTGAGGATAATAAAAACGATCTCTCGCTGTCCCTTAAAGACCCGTCGCACCAAGACTGATGATCACATGGAACATTGTAATATTCACAATCACAGTACAGAGCAGTGACAATTATGGAGCATGGTTAGTGCATATAATACACATGGTCTTGACAGGTGTATCCCGTGCACGGATCCCTCCGATCCCAACACAACAACTTGTGTTTGACTTACTCAGCGCTGCTGATCTTGTTTCCTGTGTGAAAGTGTTTCAGGTGCAGGAAGTCCAGCAGCACCTGAGGCACGTCTTCATTTAGATAGATGATCTCCTGACCGACAAACGACAACAAAGTTTGAACAAAAAAAGGCTGTGAACATTGTGGGGGCAGATGCAATCTTTAGATGTTTCAGTGAAGAGCTGCAGTCTACACAGTTCTCTGCTTTGAGACACTGCTTTCCTCCCAACAGCAGGTGAGTGGAGGTCACCTGGATGTAATCCTGCAGCTCCTGCCTCCTCTGCTCCATAGGTTTGGTCCTCAGGTGGGGGTTCCTTTTGCTGGGATAATCTGGAGTCTGGATGAGCTTCCTGAGCTGCAGGGACCACAAGGACAACAGGGACTTTGACAGTCTTCAGTTTCTCGCAGCACTAAAGCGTTCGAAACCTCTTTGAAGCTTTCCAACATGTTTATTCTCTTTTAAGGCTGGTTAATTGAAAGTCAAGTGGGAAAGTACAACCCCAACATTCTAAAATTGTAGAAATTGTTTTTTTTTTTATCTGATTTTTTCCAGGTTTTAAGATGAAATCATTAAACACCAAACATATTAAACTGTGATTTCAAGGAGTTACAGGCGCCATCCTCTTATATGAACCAGCTGAAGGTAGTTCTTGTCATAGAAGACTTGTATTAATTTATTTTTGTTGTACAGTTCCCTGAGACGATGTCTATATGGAGAAACTGACTCGAACTGAATTTAGGATCAATAACCAAATGTTTACATGCTAATAAATTGTCCAATCAGAAGCACTCTGTTCAGGACATATTTGATTTACAGGATATAGACTGAGATAATAAAATGCACATTACTGTTTGTTCATTAAAAGTCATGGTGCAGCTAAAATATTAAGCAGTAATAGTTACATGCTTTCCTAATGTGCAATCTTAATATCCTTTGGATATTTCTTCTTCTATCCACACATTCTAACAAAATGCTGCAGTTCCCCTGCTGCACCACTAGGTGGCGAGATTTCCTCTCAGTTAAGAACCTTTTCAGAACATCAAAGTTTATGGTGGCAGGATCAAGAAAAAGAGACAGATGTAGGAAACAAATGTGAAACATTTATTGTTGTTTGGGTTTCTAAGGTACAAAGTTCTAGCAGGTGTATGTAAAAAAAAAAAAGAAGCCATTTTGTTTTTGTAAAGCACCAAATTTTAAGACCACATGAATTCACCAAAGAGTTTTAAATTGGTCTTTTTCACCAAAAACTCATTTTGTGTGTGAACCATGGACCTGTACACTGGGTCAAAGACCCTTGCCTTTTTGTGTGATTAGGAATAGAAACCAGCTGGATGCCATGATTGTGGGTTTTTTGGAACCAGAGTCATGTGGGGCTTTAAATCCCACCTCCTGCACATAGTCATGGTGTCACGTGACCTTTCTACAACGCCCTCCACAAAAACAAAAAGTTTTATTTGATCCTCGTTTAGCTTTAATTAGTTATTTCAGGCTAAGAAAAGGTCACGTGACACCATGACTGTGTGCAGGAGTAGGTGGGATTTAAAGCCCCACATCCTTTGTGAGCAGACTCTGGTTCCAAAAAACCCACAGTCATGGCATCCAGCTGGTTTCTATTTGTAATCACACAAAAAGGCAAGGGTCTCTGACCCAGTGTACAGTCCATGGTTCACACAAAATGAGTTTTTGGTGAAAAAGACTAATTTAAAACAAACCTTTACGGTGACAGTGAATAAATGTGGTCTTAAAATTTGGTGCTTTACAAAAACAATTACCTAATACCCCCCCAAACACACACCCGCACGCTAGAACTTTGTAGCTTAGAAACCAAAACAACAGAGTAAATTTTTCGGTGTCATGTCGTTTTCTGAGTGGTACCGTCTTCCAGTTATGAATAAACTTTTGTCTCAAGTTCTGTTCAAATAATCCCTCACTGACAATCCGGGTCAGACGGATTCTACCGGATCCGTCTCATCCCTGGTATGTTCAGCTTGATGTTTCTTTTGTAATAGATTGTTAACAACCCACAAGTCGGGTCTTCTCGTCTCCCTCGTTTAGTTTTTCCTCAACAGAAGGGGCGGGGCTTAAAAATTGTACTGAAAACAGCTGACAGGGAAGGATGGTCCGTTTCGGCTTTAACTTCCAGGTTCACTCCGAAGGTCTAGACATGTGCGGTCTGTGGTGTGGCTGTGAGGTGAAACACAGCGGAGAAATCCGTTTTGAAAAATATCTGGAGAACTGCGGACAGGGTCTATGTAAAGTGAACTAAATTAGGGATTACAGTGAATGATTCAGGAGATTAGATGTTCAGGTTCCACAAAGTGTCAGAGTAGTACCAGTAAGTGTTGGTTTGATGAACGTACCTTTCTGTGGAGCGACTGGAACTCACTCGCTCTGCGGAGCACATAATGTTTCCTCTCGTTGAACAGGACTTCAACTCTGAAAAACTGTGGGGGGAAAGATACAACGGAGGATTCATTTAAAGTCTAAAACTAGTATTGAAAGATTGGCATCTTAAAAAATTAGAGAATTTAAACTACAGCTGAAGGGCAGCACGATGGCAGCAGCTGAATAAAAGGCTAAATGATAGAAGTAGATCGATTTTGTGAGAATCGAGAAATTACATTCAAAGAATAGGAACCACGTCCTATACACCTGCAGTCACCGTCAGCGTGATACGAATAGAAGAACAGAGGTTTTTTTTTTCTTGTTCGAGGCCTCGCAGAGTGATGGATCCTGTGCTCGCTTACCGAAATCATTTTAGTAGAGCCTGAACGATATGTCGGTAGGGCCGATAGTTTAGGACGATTTAGGCGTTTGGGGATATATCAACATCTGTGATAATTGTCCCATTATGCACCAATATAAACACTGGGAACAAGCAGTGCCCTTGCTTGCACAAGGCGTAATTGTACAAAGCATCCAGCAGAGGGCGCATGCAGACTACTTTCAAGTTGTGGCCGTTTACTTTAAGTTTCACTTTCAGCACAGACGAAGCAGAGAACAATACTGTGTAGCATATTTTGCTGAACACAGCATGGTAAGTTTATTGCAACTGATCTGTAAAACAATAAAAAAAAAACTTTAATAAATTCTCTTCAATCCTCCAATCCGCTTGTCATTAGCAAGCTAACCTTTACATAACCTAGCACAGGCTATTACCTTGTAAATTTGATCCAAAACGATATACCTTGTTTAAATGTTTTGACGTATTGTTTTTGCACCATTAGTGCGTAGCGTATTCTTAGTTCATGTCTCGGATCTTACTATCGTTTCTCTTTACAATTTGTATTTTTGTTGGATGTAACTGGGACCCTGTGTACATAGTTTCGTTCCACCTCATGCACCATGTGAATGACAATAAAAATCCTTGTATCCTTGTAAATCTAATGTAGAGGTAAATTTATATCAGTGTTAGTAACGTTATCTTTGTCGTCCTCAATGAAATGCACCGCTTGTCTGAAATATTTACTTCTCTGGAAAGAAAACTAAACTCTGCTGCGGTCAATATTAATTAGACATTCACCGTACATGACTGCTTAAACAGGGAAAGGTGTTTCTATGTTTAATTCATAGTTTGTAACACACTTCATAACTTTATGGTGATTAGTGGAAAATGGAAAATGTGAATGCACGTTAGGAAGACTGTTTCAAGACTTCAAGTGTTGAAACAGGTTTAAAAGTAGCCGTTTAGATTCTTGGGGCTGGACAAAGGTAAAAAGTGTTCACCCAATATATCGATTATTGGCATTAGGGTTAGGAAGAAGTGGGTAAAGACAATGGATGGATGGAGGATAATACAAACCCACAACAAATCAAACAGGACAAAACTTTGAACCTTAGCAGAATCTACGAGCTTCTGTATTCAAATCTACATAAAACGAGCTCCTGGGAGAGCCTGCTGCTAAAACAGCACTACTTTATTAATAATAAACATTATCCTAAAATAATCACTGCTTAATGAGTAACAGCACCATCAGAGTCAAACCTGTGCACTGAGGCTGTCTGTTTAAAACGCTGTGTTGAACAGAGCCTGATGGTTCTGTGAGCTGCATGCATCCAAACTGAGAAACAGTTCAAACGAAGCATTTTGCTTCAGAAACTTGTGGTTTTGCTCATGAATGACTGAGCTTGTGACGAACACAAAGTGATCTCGTGTTTCCCCACCAGTAAAAACACTGAATGAGCCGAGCTCCGCTGCACAAGAGGAGCAAATTCCTCAAACCAGTGTCGCTTTTTACCCACTCTGAAACCCAGGCCCGCGTGGAAACCTCAACAGATTCACAAGTCGGAGACTGAAACGGTGTTCAGCACAAAGTTTCACTTCAGTGAGTCTCCTGAGACGATTCCTGTAGAAACCAGACCAGTTCCTGTAAACTCAGGAACAGAGGAGTGCTTATTTCATTTGCGCTGTGCTTTTATTTCTTTTTAGGGTGTCAGGAAGATCTTTAAAAAAAGTTATGAAAAATGAACATCTTACCTGTTGTAGATAGCTCTTCGAACACTGTCAGATTGGAGTTTATTTGAATTCTGGTAAAGGTTTATGGATGTTTGGCACTAAAGTTAAATTAATGTGTGCGTTAGAGAGTTGTTTTTCCTCTCAGAGAGGAGCCTGCAGGAGCATCTGATAACTCCAAGGATGCTTCCGAATCTGGAAGCAGGAAAGCCGAGGTTGTCTTGACCTCGCTTCTGTCTTATAAAACACTTCCTGCCTCACTGTCCGTGCAGATTCTTACTGACGAGGCTCTAAGCATGTAACTTTGTACATCTGTGAAAGCCTGTTTTCATGACTGTCTGCCCTTGCAAGTAAAAGAACGGTTAAAAATCTTCATGTCCTCAGAGTGGCTTATTTGAGTAAGCAGATAATGAAAGGATATTTATTTATCCAACATTTTTGGTCCTTCGAGCCGGATCCCCTAGCCAAAATTCCCTCGACAGATTACACTTTGGAAAAATTTTTTTTTGATGATAGCTCATCCAAAACAAACAAACAAAAAAAAAATCAAACAAGATCTAAACAGTTAAGCCAATTTTGTTGCATTAAATTGACCAATTTTGAAAAAGCATAATTGTATTAATCAGTTGTCAATATGAGCACATTCAATGTCATTATGAGGTTATTTGATAATGAGTACAAAACGTCTCTCTCTCTAAATTTAAATTGGTAGGAGGTCAAAAATAGATAAAAGTTTCACATTAACCTGTACCACAAGTGAAGAGCTAATGGCTGGGCAGGATCAAAACCAAAAAGTGGATTGCACCTATCATATAACAATCTATACAAACCTTCATACTGCCATTTATTTCACATTACACTATTATTTATATACAATTATTTGGTTAGTACCAATTCAACTGAACCTTTATTTATACAGTCCGGAATCCAGAAGGCTTCATCAGTCAAGTGTTTCCTTGACTGATGAAGCCTTCCAGGTAGAAGGTGAAATGTTTCAGCAAAAAAAGAAACTGTCCAGATGACCTGACTGAAAATTGTTGGATTGTATACCTGGATTATTGAGCATGAACTTTTTTTTGGTTTAAAAATCTACTAAATGTTGCTCCTGTAAGATCAAAGTTCATGCTCAATAATCCAGGTAAAAAAATCCAACAAAGTTAAAGCAAGTCCTCTGGACAGTTTCTTTTTTGGCTCCTCGGACTGATGAAGTCCTTTGGATGAAGGACGAAACGTTCCAACAAAAAAGGAAACCGTCCTCAATTAACTTTGTTGGATTGCTCCTGTAAGGTCATTTAACCATTTAAAGACTTTAAATAACTCCCCCCGTGCTTATTTGTACTAAACATTTGTAAGTAAAACTTTGATGGGCTGCTCGTGCGTTTGCCGACAGTTTTGATGTTTATCCTCGGATTTGTTGAGCAGAGCATGCAGGTTTGTTTACATCGAGTGCGGACCCGCATTTCAGAATCCCACGAAAACTATGTGATCTGCTATGAGTACCTGGAAGTCCAGCAGAATCGGTTTGGGTCGTTCTGGCTGTTTTCTGCAGGTGAGCCTCACCTGGTGACGTCACTCCTCAGAGAAGAGTTCAAACTGAACTCCGGCACCGTGCTTACCTTTTTCGCCTTGCCGGACTCGTTCACATCCTTCTCCTCCGTGGACGGGATGGACACTTGAATCATGAGGAAGTCCTCCTGCAGACCCATGGTCCGAGCTGCACCCACAGGCCTGACTCAGGGTTTCATGCACACCAGCAGCTGCAGGAGAAGTTTTCCGGTAGTTCCTCCTGAGCTCCACCTACAGTCTAATTGGACGAACCCGAGCAGACATTAAAGGTGCAGCCGCCTGTCGTGAGGCGTTCAGGGACCTGCGGCAGAGTGTCGTGGTGTGTTTGAGAAGGTCAGGAGTTTATCTCAGCTGCCAGTTCTTCAAAGCAAAACTTTTCTTTTGAGAAGTTTGTGTCGGCCACACTCCCTCCGCAAACAAGAGCTGTTCAGGAAGCTGCGAATGAAAAAGGGATATTCTGGCCGTTTTAAAGGTGGTGTTATTTTTTCTTCTTTATTTCATTTCGAACAGTTAAAATATCAACAAAACAAAACAAAACAAAAATGTTCGAAAAGGAACAGAAAGAAGCAACTGCTTATCCAGTCCTGTCCATAAGTTTACATACAAATCCTGAAGTGATTCAATATTATAAATACATAAATATATAACTGTATACATACCTACACATACAGTACAATATACCTGCAGATACAAATGTATTCTCATATCACCTACAGATCAAAGATTAATACGCAGATTAATAAATTAACTGGAATCGTTTACAAATTCATTTTGTACTCCTTATATTTTCTCCTGAATTGTGCAACATTTTTAGATTTTCCTCTCAGTTCACACTTCCCTCTATTCTTAAATTCGTCTTGACCAAATGACTCGATTTATAGGCTAACGTGACGTCAGCTTGGCCATGGCGTTGTTGCAAAATATCTCCATAATGCTTTGTTCTTCTGGACTTTATCAGGGTGTTTCATCCACATTTGATCTAGAGCTGTCATTTCTAACCCGGGCCCAAGCCCAGCCTGGCACGACTCAAATTTGGACCGGGCCATAATAATGTGCTGGAAGGGCGGGCTGGGTCAGTGTTGGACTTTTGATTACACGCAGCTGACAATCCAAATATATGGCAACATGGCTTGCCATATTATCATCATAGACACGCCATTTGACGGCGCGCTGACCCGCCTTGAAAGAGGTAAAATAAAGTTCAGTTAAGCTTCAGCTGGACTACAGCCAGCGATGCATCAAAGCTCAAATGGACGTTCATTCGGCCGCTGCACTCAGTGGATGCACGCGGCCGAAGACCCAAACAGGTGAGATCCCAAAATATCCTCGCAGACATGTCAGAGCAGGGTCCGTGTCTGAATAATGCAGAATGCAGGCAGAAGCAGGGATTTAATGCTCTTTGATGGCCATGAAACGACAAACACCCCCTCAGCTCAGATCTTCTGCCCATTACTCAGCCGTGCGCGTCCGCCAACCTTTAAGAACTATAAGCAGTAAAAGCTTAATTAAAAATGTTGGGGGGGGTTTCGGGTTCGGACCTGTAATTACAGTTAATTCATCGGATTGGGTTGAGTTTGGAAATGAAGGCTACAGGCTGGGTCGTTTTTTTTTAAGGTCCGAATGCAACTCCCATTTGATCACACGTGTTCAGCTTTCATGTCCCACTGCAGTTCAGTGTTACTCCCAGTTATAATTCTGATGTGTAAAGAACAAAGTCATATATATATATATATATATATATATATTCATATTTAAACAAAAATAGAGCTCCCCCGTAATCTTAAAAGTGTTGTTGAAGTCAGATTACAGGAAGCAGCACGGCACTTTCAAATCCAGCTTCACTTCCTGCTGCGACACAAAGTACGAAACAAGTGGGCATTAAAAAGGATGTAAGCCCTGGCTGTACACACCGCTGTCCTCACATCCACCCCTCCACAAGGTCAATCATTAACCAGACGTTCTGTTTTTTGTTTCGCTTCACGAGGACACTTTTATTTTACGACCCTTGCCCGTTTTCCCCACGTAAAGTTTTTCTGAGCCAGTCATTTTCCACCATGCCAAGATGTTTTTCATGGACTTATGTCGACAAGAAGCACATGCTCTGCTCATGACCGTCGTCAGGGGGTTTATATGTTCCCTCCTGGTTGTTGCTCACCCTGTCCCAGTCGACGCAGACACAAGAGCTGACTGAAGCAACTCTGTGCGAGGATGTGTGACCTCACAGTCAAAGAGTGAACAGCAGATTGTTCATCTGCTCCTTCCAACGTCCAGCTCACTCACTGTTCCCAAACTCAGCAAATAAAACTCGCACGTCAACAAAAACAAAGTTATTCTTGGCTTGTTAGGGTACAAATATCTTTCAGTTGGCAAATAAAACCAGTTAATAGTCCCCATGTTCTGCACTTAATAAATGTGCTTGCATTAGGCCTTTAATCCAAAATGTGTTTTGAAACATTCAAATAAACCTGGTTGGCTTCCAAACAATGTAATGTAAATGACAGAAATGTTGTAAATTTTAGCTAAATGCGTCACGATGTTCAGGAAATCAGCACGTCAGGAATCTGATTCGGATGAACGGAACAGAGTCTTTTGTAAAACGCGCTTGTTGCCAACAGCTCGCGCATCAGTTCGATCATAAAAAGCTCTGAGCCCACGTGGAACAGAAGGAAACATTTAATTCGTGCTCTGTATTTTCATCACAAACGTAAATCTCACAGACCTGTGTGAAAACCTAAACAACTTGTAACAAACAAGGGTCAGACAACATCGCCCTTCAACGGGAACAAACTCTTCTTTTTACAACATTTTTACATTTGAAGTGAAAAACAGCCGTTTGTCCACGACGGCTTCTTTACTTGTGGCTGGAAACGATGATGACGTCCAGGCTCTCCACCTGAAACAAAGACAATTATTTCCTTCAATTATTATTTAAACCTCTTTTTGTTGTTGTTGTTGGGGGGGGGGGGGGGGGGGGGGGGATTCCCTGACAAAACTGACAATATTTATCTCACTTCCTGTTTTCTCCTTGTATTTCCTGTGTGCAATAGTTTGGATGCTGTCTGACTGAAAAAATAAAAATAAAAATTGGGGGTTCTGGGTTTTAGGTTCTGTTCACACAGTTGTTTTCCTGTTTATATTTATTATTATTATTATTAGTTAACATAATGAACTTCATCGCTGGATGTTCGGCCCCCGAGCTGCTGGCTTTCAGAAGCTGTGGCCCCCTGAGCAGTTTTGTTGAATAGCCCTGGTATAAAGGGAAACAAGCTAAAAAGATAAATACATTTATGATTATGTATTTTTTTTATGTGTTTTTGCTGTTTACCTTCTCCACTGGTCCAACCCTGAGGTTCATTAGTTTGTAGATGGTCACCTGGCCCTCGCTGTCCCCCACCAAGACGCTGTCAGAGTCTTTGGGAAGCAGCAGAGACGTCAGCTTCACACCAGGAGCAGCGTTGTGTGTGACGGTTGGAAACATGCTGGGGGGGGGGGCAGCTGGTTCATATCAGTTTAACACAAAGCTCAGGACAGAACATCAGACTGACTCACATGTTCTGATTCAGGTCCCAGACCTGCACCTGTTGCTCATACGTGGCTGCAAACATGGCAGGACAGTGTGAGAACCACTGGGCGCCGTACACCTCCCTCAGGGCAGATTTGAAGCTCATCGCCGGGGCTGTGCCGCCGCGCTCCCACAGCTGCATGGTCCAGTCAGAGGAGCAGCTCAGGAACACATCTGGACTGAAAGGTGACCATTTGACGTCATTCACAGGCCCCTGGGAGGGAGAAACATGTCAAAACGTAGAAATGAAGCTTTCATCTTTAAAGTTTCATCTCTTTGTATCACATCGACGAACGTTTGTGTCTGTTTTGCTCCATAAGTAAAGCCGACAGTCTCGTGAATGAACAAATGAAAAGGGCTTACATCGTGATATTTGTACGTGTTCAGAAAGTCCTTGCTGTTGGAAAAACAGCACTCGTGGATGACGCCGCCCTGCGTGCCGACCAGATAGATCCCAAATTCCTGCAGAAGTCCCACGTACAGAGTTGAGTTGGTTTAAAACCAGTTGCTACGCACGGTCAGAAAACGTGGCTGAAACCTGACATGAAAACGTTGCAGTCTGGAGAAAGGAACAACTTCACAAGTTGGCAAGACATTTGTTTTATGTCTTGTAGATTTATTTACGTCAACTTGAAGCCCTCTAACATTCCATGGACCTGTTTAATCAAGTCGGTCACAGAAGATCTTTCAGTCTTTGGGTTTGTTACGTATCAAGATGTAACTCAAACAACCTGGTTTTGAAGTTGTGTCATTAATACAGAGCTTCTTTCAGCTGCTTCCTTCTTCAGGGGTCACCACAGGGATTAACTCGCATGAAACATTTGGCAGATTGTTGTACGCTGAATGCCCTTCCTGACGCAACCTGGACTTGAACCAGCAACCCCAGGATTACAAGGCATCATTTAACCACTGAGCAGCTGAAGTTGTGTCATTAATAATGACATCACTATTTATTGAAAAGACGAAGCTGAGCCTACTCTTGCTGCTTCCACAGGATTCAATTGGGTAAGTAGCAGCCAGGTGCTGCTGATCAAAAGTATTGATTACCTGATCATCATCAGGGTGAGCACCTCTATTAAAACAGGAAGTTTGCTGCTCTGGAGCAGACAAGTGTGTGTTAACACAATGCCAAGAAAGAAAGACAACAGCAATGATATTGCAGAAGCAGCTGTTGCCACAGTCCATCTGGGAAGGGTTAAAGGTCTTTTCCAATCAAAGTTCATCATTTTACACCCGGAATACTTTTCTCATATAAATAATAACAATAATAAACATTTTAAACAGTTGTCAACCTTTTGGATGTTCTCGCGAATGTGTGGATGCTCAGAGAAACTGCAAAAGGTCTCAACAAAATTCATGGCAGTACAAAAAAGGAGATTTGAACAAATACGGCTTGTTGGAACCTCGTTTCTCTAAAAAAACAAGGACGTGGCAGCATGACGTCTGTTCACTGAAGTGCGTTTGAAAACACCAGAGGAGTTCTGGAACAACATCCTTTGAACGGACGAGCCCAAAGCAGCGACACACACAGCAGGTCGGCTTAAAGTAGCTAAATATGCTAGTAGATGTAGCTAAATATGCTAGTAGATG